TAGTTCCATTAAATCTTTCCTCTTGAGTAGATCTTAATTGTTTTCCTATGTAAATTGTCATTTTTTGATAAAAAAACATTTCAGGTAGTTCATAAATCAAGATACTGTCTGTCATAGTTTGTTAGTCTGAACTTGGTATATTTGCAGCACATTCTACATAACAGCTAGAGTTTTAGTCAGCAAACTGGTCTATAAACACAAAATGAATATTACACACATTTGTTTGCCCAGGCAACACCAAGCAGTTGTCCTAGTGCTTACTTAGTGCTACAATCAGCTCTAGTCTGGAGAAATGAAAATATTTTCATTTGATATTTATTCTCTCCAGCAAAGATATTGAAGAGGTGTCAGACAAGTGGCCTTGTGCAATTCTCAAAAAAACCTGACCAATCACCAATTTTTTCCCCTAGCACTCCAGAGACAGAGCGCCTGTGAACCATCAGACAACAACAGCATTAGCTCATTTCTGGACAGAAACGGACTTCAATGTAAATTCAATGCCTCCAGTTATCAGTCCTTGAGTCACACAGCCACTGGTATCTGGATCTGTTTTGCAGCTCCAGTTGATTTCGCAGGGAAGGACCCAGGCCTCTCATCCTGCTGAACTCCAGATGTGGAAATCACAGGTGTTCTTAAAAAATAAATATGCCTAAAGCAGAAATATCAAAATAAGATCCTCTATGTGTATGAAATAATTCTATCCAGATTTCTGAGGTGTTTTGGTTATACTTTTGTATACTCTCATTGTTGACCAATATTTTACTTCCCTTTCATCACTTGTCTGACAGCTGCTGGGGAGACCTTGAAAAGGTGAAAATATGCCATCCCCAGGAGAACACCAATGAAGCTGGCAGCAGGATGCCTTGCAGATGAAGACATAGCAGAGTGTGAAGGCTGGATGTTGGTACTAGGCGAGTACAAAGAAGAAATAAAAAAAAGCTTTAGCAAAGGCAAGTTGGTTGCTGTGTATGACTTATAGTCTCTGAGGACTGAACACAACACAGGTAAAAGTGGTAGTTTTTTTGCCCAGAACTCCAGTGAGATTTACAAGAATTTTGGTTCCTCTCCTGCAAAAAGTCAGAGTCTCTTTCAGTTATAATCCAAGATATACTGATTATGCTGACTGTGCGGAGCATGGAGTTATATTGGGTTGATGGTCCTCATGGACATAGGATGGAGAAGGGTCCCCACATGCAGAAAGACAAGCAAGCTGAGCAGCACCTCTGCTACAGCACCAAAGCTGTATTCATTTTCTGGAGAAATGTGAAGCAGTAAGGAAATCCTAGCTTGAAATTCATGCTACCTCAGAAGAGTGCCTTACAGCAAGGAAAGACCCATCTTGCAGGAGGTTCACATTCTGCCATGCAGAGTCTAAGAGATGGATGCTCCGCAGATGGCTGGATAAAGCATTTCCCTGACACCACTACTCAAAAGTGTGAAGTAAAAAGTTTTTACTTCAAGGGAACAGGGTTAAGAGAGATCCTTCACTGGTCTGGTCTAAGATGACTTTCTTACTTACTTGTGATAGTGCAAGAGTCACAAGATCTTTTAATGCACGTGCAAAAGGGAAAGACTTACAGGTCCTCTCCTATTTCCTAAAGAAGGTACTGTCTGACCCATAGTCATAAATGCTATGGATCCACCTCTCCTCTCTTGCTGCCAGCCTATTTTGATGGCTGCACTATTTGCAGCTAACTTTTTGATTCTACAGCTTGCTGTGAGATGCATTACTGTGTACACCCTGTTTTACTCCAGGAGTAGCTGAAATGGAAGGCAGACTGGAGTGTGCAGTGCTCCTGGAGATCTTCTCTCACAAATATTGCAGCACTCAGCAATATGTTCAAGCTCATCACTATTACTTCCATGAAAGTGTCGCCAGGGGACAATGAGGAGGTTTAAATACTGGTTTGATACTTGCGTGGGAGTTGGATTTTGAACACAGCCCTGGTCACTAGTGATTAAAAAGATCTAGCTGAAGGAACAATGATATAATGGTTTTCATTGTGACACTGGCAGGCAATTTGTAAAACAAGGATAATGATAATTCAACCTTTGTAATGCACACAGGGATATTTGTATGAAACACAATTTACATGTGCAGTGTATTTTTATTACTAATACAAGACACAGTTCTGTCAAACCTTGCAGCAAAGTGCTGTTGCTTTCTTAGCGTGCTTATGGGGAATTGCTGATCTCTGATGGCAACAGGATGATTGATTATGTTTTTAATGCATTTGTTGCACAGGTAAAGTTAATGCTTGACTTGGAAATAGAACAGCCGTGTCGTAGACCTTGAATTTTGAAAGATGAAACTAGCAAACTTTGTTTGAAAGAAACACTACAAAAAATGGCAAGACACCATTTGCTAGTTCTGTTATAATTTGTCATATGAACAGAGAGACTCAATAATGGGAATAGGCAATGATAAATTCAACTTCTGAAATGTGGGATCCAGGATTGTTCCTCCTGCTGGGACAAGACTCAGATATGCACCATTTCCAGGCAATCCTGGCTAGTTTTGCAGAGGAAACCCAGACTCAAAGTCAAGAGGGAACCTCAAAATGTTCCAGGAGAGCCCCAGAGCAAGCTCTGAGGGGACTGAAGCTGTGGAGAACACCTGCCACGCGACACAGGTCCTGCCAATACGACCAAAGAGAAGCTGTATTAATATTACTTGGGTTTGGAAAAAGTTGCATATCACTTGACTGAAAATATCATCATGTAGGATATAAAAGTAACAGTGTTTGGAACATTCCCAAGCGATTGTTCTCAGTGACAAACTTTGGTAGCCTCTGCTTAGACACAACATCTCAGTGTTCGTTTGCTGCTTGGACAGTATAATGAAAGAAACAAAAGCTTTTGCATGATTTTTCCTGAATCTCATGAAAGAATTAGCTTTCAGTGAAAGTAATAATTAAAAAAAAATCGTCTGTTTCTTAGCTGGAACCTGAAACTTCTCCTGTGGAAGCTGACAACAAAACTCTGTTGATCTAGATGGGAACAACCTGATCTAGTGCCCTAGTGCCTGATTTAGCGGCTGACAACCGTGCCCAACCCCAGAAGGAGTTGGAACTGGATTATCTTTGAGATCCCTTCCAATCGAAGCCAGACGGTGATGATTCTACAACAAAAACAATTAAATTTTCAGGGCCACAGGAACTCAGTACGATCAGCAAGAAAGAAATGGGTAGTTACTGCAAACAATCACATTCTGCCAAACAAAGGGTACAAACTTACAGATTGTTGTAGTGACCAAATAAATCATAGTAATAATTAAAACTTATTTCCCAAGATAAACCACTGTGGCCATTCTTGCAATAATATCAGAAATAGGGTGGAATTTCACAGCCACTGAAAAATCTGCTTATACTTGGGGAAAAGAAGTGTCATTCTTCACAGACAGAAAAATGAAACATAGGCTTGGCAGGGACTTGCTAAGAGATAAAGAAATTATGAGGTAATCGGGCAGTAATGCTTCAAAGGAATATTTTCAAAAAATACATTGTTTCCTTTTTATTGTGATTAAGTGCTTGTAATAACAGGATTATTTTAGCCCTGCCAATATGCTGTCAGTGTCAATTTTATTTAAAAGAAGGAAATAAACAAAAGGCTATTATTGCAAGAAATTCAAACTAAAATGTTAAAGCTTTCTTGCTTATGGGATTGTATTTAAAATTAAAGGTTGCACGTCAAAATGAAGTCCTGGCACATGCTCATACGTTTCATAATTGCTTTTGGACCTTACATATGTACCCCTGTGACAATGATATCGTCAAATAATGGAAATACTGTATATTTATTAGAGAATAGCAATTTAGTAACAAATTTATATAGACTTATTACAGACTGTCAGAAACAAGAGTAATGGACATAGTACAAATCCAAACCATATGTTCCATGAAAGAGTATGTCCTTCCAGCATTTTTTAAAGCTATAAATTATCTATCACACTACCAATAAAGTACTGTAGAGGTAAGGTCACCGACCCCAAAGTACTGACATTTAGTTCAAGATCCAATCCCTGCAGCTTAGCACTTCATCCAAATTTCCAAATGTGGACGGGAACTCTTTTTTCCTTGTCCTGTGATGTTTTCCCACAGGCTACTCTGCTTGCTGATGTTTCCATGATAATATTCTTTGCATTCTGTCAATTTACATTTAGTAGCTGTATTGCAGTAACAGGAAACTTTTAGATCATCCCCTCTGTGCATACATAAAGACCTCATGTATGCTCTGTGTCCTTATAAGCATTCACTTGGCTGGACCGCTGGAAAATTCCCCCACCCTCAACTAGTTAAATGTGATAGCCTGAGGGTAGAAGTGCCTGAGGTCTGGTCTTCATATGTGAGGAAAATAGTTATACGGAATGGTTTTCCTTCACAGAATAAGGGGTAGACATGTCCCCCCTGCAGTGGGGATCCCAACCCACTAGGATGCTGAACATCTGCAAAAATGTTCCGTATCATGCCAGCAGGAACAAGCAGTGTACCCAGACATCAAATACGTGCAGAGGGAATGCTAAGGATAAAGATAGCATTAAGGATAAAGATAATACAAAAAGAAACAAAAAAAGCAGAAGAGAGAGATGAAATGAACTGCAAAGGTCTGACAGGGATTTATCACTGCATGTAGAAGAAGACATGATCATTTTGCTACCATCACTTCTCATTTGTGCTCATCTTGCCACTTTCCAGGTTTGGCCAAACCCACCTGTGAAAGAGAAAAGGGTCACATCCTCAGCTGGGGAAAATGAGCCCAGCTTCACTGGACCCATATGGCAGTACCACTCCCTGTGGCTGTGATTGTCATGCCATGAGCCAGCAGTGCAAGCAGTCAGCTCTGAGGCTAAACTACTAAAAAATAGAAACAATTAAAGCATAGAAACAACAACAATACAAACAACTGTAAAATAGAAACTGCTGGCTTCAGTATACCGTGACTTTAGGAGGATCCTGCTTTCTAAACGCTGGAGCCTTAATGTTGCAGTAACTTGAATGCTCCTCATTTCAAAATACTGTTGTCTTATGCATAGAACTGGAACAGCACTGATCAAATTGTCTGTAGGTTAAATAACAAAACATAAGCATAGAAACATTCTCTCCATCCAAGAGAATACTGCTCTGAGATTCTACAGTTAAGAGATTTTTTTCACCTCATGTGATATCAGTCTCTCTCCAGACTTCCTAGTTTACTTACAAGCCAGATGTCTTACCAGTCTCAGCATTTCCCTGCATGTAGAATTGCAGAAGGGCAAACCGCACGATAACATTTTTCCTTCTCAAATTTCGAAAACCCTCCCAGAAGCAGCTATTTGTGCATGCAGATGTGGACCTGCAATTCTCATGCTGGTACCGATCCATCAAAATCAGCACCATGAATGAAAGCCCTGCCATCCCAGAAGCAGCTGTCAGTTTGAATCCAAATGTACATTCCCCCTTGTTAGATGAAACAAGACTGTCAGCCCCCTCCACTTTGTTATTTACTTATAGTATTGTATAGTTTTACTGTGGCTATGGATGGTCTCCTGTGGGAATGACTTGTTTTTTTCCTCCTGACTGTTACTGCACATGACTGCCCTGTTGTTTCATATTGCGAGTCAGGAATGCTCCAAGGGTAGCTCTGAGAATGGCACTCAGCTTGCAATTGGGATCATCAGTTACATGCAAAGTGCTGAAAAGAGTTTTTGCAGTTCTTTTGATTTTTCATCCTCTTGGTTAAAGTATAAAAATCTTTGACTAATACAATCTTTGGAAGTGTTTGTTTGGGGCATCTATAACTCTGTCAGAGAGCCTCTGGTGTACTTTGGGATCTGGACACATTCAGCTTCGTTTCTCATTCGCGAAGTCCAAATATTCACAGAGGCACCATTTACACAGAGTTATGAGACCCATCTGCACATTTTTCTTTCTGTGGGCCAGGGGGAAGAAATGTAGAGGAGAGGAGCTGAAGGGAAGTTGGGAGGCAGACACGGTGAAGAGGACTGCGATGAACGAATGTTTGTCCACCCTTTGTGCTGAGTGCCTTTGCGCCACCTCAGCACACATTGGGCTCCTCTTTGCAAGACTTTTGTACCTCCTCAGAGTGGAGGAAGCATAGATAAGCGTAATGAACACAAACATATTAACAATTACTCGATTCCCTTAAATCTCTTTCTTACATGCCGCTCATTTTGCTTAGAATATAGATCCTCTGTAACCAGTTTTCTTACGAAAAATATTTTCTACTGCTATTTTATCAGGGATTTACCCATCAGCTTAATAAAAGAAGTGAATTCAGGTGGATTGGTATAAACTAATGTGACTTGGTTATCATGATAGCATTAGATAGACATCAGTTCTTTAATTCACACCATTCAGGCTAGCAGACAAGCCACAAGCAAGACACTGTTTCTGTATTTTTCACGACCAGTGACATCTTGTTAGGTGGTGGGAAGTACTTACAGCCCTCAGTAAAGTGAGATCAGTAGGAACTCAGCACTTCTGAAGTAAGGCCACAGGAAAATGGACACTCAAACCCTGGTGAATGCCCAGATATTCTGTGATGATGAAAAACGGGAAAACAGTTCACAGATCGTAACACATAGAAAATATAATGAAAATAAATAAAATGCATCCATATATAGTGAAAATGATGACAAATAATTTAGCTCTTTCACACTTGTTTTAGGTTTCAACAGAGCTGCCAAAAATTCAGTCTTCATGGGAGTTCATGGGAACATTTTCTTTGTTTTTGATCTGTGTGGGTTTCTACCCAGTAAACCTCTGAACACGGCAAAAATCACAGAATGAAACTTATTCAGAGCTCTTTGGCTCTACTCACTTTCTAGACTGAAGCTGTTCAAAACTAGAAAATCAGTGACTATATTGGCACATAGCTTGAGAGTAGCCTAGGCTGTCCTGAAAGTCTCGGGAGTTTGCAAGAACATCTTAATCAGCACGGTCTAATTTCTGAGCACATTTTACATAAGCTGTAGCCTAAAGCATCCTGGATAACTTTAACACTCCCTGAAACAATGCCTTAACTCCATTCACTAACTGAGTTTCTCAAAAATGATCATCTGATGTGTTTTGGGAATCTAGGAAGGGAATAATTATTACAAGATGTAAATATTTCTTGTGTGATGAGGAGCACTTGGGTAATTCTTTTTCACTGTCTCAGATACATCCCATTAAATTTCTAAAAATTTGATAAATTACAGGAATTGTGTACTTTTTATTAGCATTTCTCTTGGAAATTATAACATGCACTGATCCTGACCACTAGAGACAATGCTTCTTAAATCATTACCATTGGCTAAAAAGTCAGAGTAATTCTTTATTTTGTGATAGCAAATTACTGGCTTGCCAACAATGCAGTGTCAGAGCAACTAAAGTGACCTTTGAATTGTGCAAAAAATTGTGTCTGCATGTGTGTCTGATACAAATGTTAGCACAGATCACTTTGGTGTCTGGATGGTTTCACTGTAATGCTCACTTGATTGGAGCACTTGGTAAATTCCTTGTTATTAACATTTGGAGCGTCTTACTCGGACATGAACTTTATTATGTGGAGTGAAAACTGAATAAAAGATTGGAAACAAATGCTAATGATAAGCAACAATATACCGAGTTGGAGGGAAGTCTGCAGGGATTATAACTGATCCTGATTTTATGTAATGACTTTATTTACGCTATAAAAGGAAATTAATTTTTTTCATATAAAAGCCTAGCATGTTGAAGTAGTTAACAAAACGATTCTTAAATTACTGGAGGTTGGTAATGCGTTACCAGCTCTCCAGTCTCTCTGTCTTGGGGATCAGTTGTGTTTCACGTGCCTGCATGGTGCTGATTTCCCTCTGCGCTCTTCTCAGTACATATGAAATCAATGGGACCTGGGAACCGAGACCCTTTATTACTTTTCTCCTTCCTGTTTTTCTGCCTTGGGCGATTGCTTAGTCTTCCTCACGTGTACACTGGTGAGGAGGTAGAAATCATTTCTCCAAAGGGACTTTTAAGGTTGGGAATATGGGCAGGAAACAGCACAATTAGATTCAACAGAGAAAAAAACCCCACAAACTAATATAGCTCAGGGAAAATCAACTTAACTACATAATCAGCAGCAGAGTAATACTTGGATACCATTGAATACATGAAGATTTAGGAGAGAAAATTGTAACAAACCAGAAGTGACTTTGCAACAACTTAGGGCAAAGAAGCTGCTGTGTTCGTCGATTGTGTGCATAGAAACATCTCAACAATTCTCAGGGACACAGTACTCCCTCTGGAGGTGCTGCAAGAGGCTTTCCTCTGGGATTAGATGCTCAAGGCTGTTCTGGGATCCTTGTATTGAGAATGAATACTTCAGTAAGGATCACCTCAGTGGTCCTTACCAACAAACCACCAACACGGTCAAGGATATAGAGAGAAACTGGAAAGATTCTGAATGCTAAATACTCATATTTTTGGTAAGGAATCACTACATATGGTGGAGTGGTGTAGAGGCAGAGAAAAATGTATGATGCCACTTTAAGGGCTTACAAAAACATTACTCATTTTTCACCCTGGCTGCCAAACTCAGAATATTCATCTCTGCTCTCACATCGGCCCTATCTTCTGCACCCGTTGTTTCTTCATGGTGAATTCTTCATGGTGAAAGCAATAACAGACTATTCTGTATGAGAGGCTGGAATAGGCAGGGTGACTTCTTACTACATTGCACCAGTTCGTACCTAGTTTACATTGGGTGGGATTTCTATTCATTGATCACTCTGGTCAGTGTTTGCTAAGAAAAGTGAAGAAAGAAATTCTTTACTGTAACGGAAGGTAACAAATACAGGCATGCCAACACTGTCACAGAAAAGGTTTATGCCTTTTTATTCTTTCTGCCAAAATCATTCCAGAGGTTGTGCTGTAGCTTGTGTAGCCAGTTTGGAAGTAGCAAATGTTGCATTAGTGCTATCTAGAATTTCCTAAAACTGAAAGATTAGCAGCGATGTTTGGGCTCATTCTTGCCCCGTGTTGAAAAGAGCACTTTACCATTGCTCTGAAGGTTTTATCAGAGAAGATCACAATGAAACCTACAGAAAATCAGTGACAAGTGGAGGAAAAATAGAAAAGTCCTAGCGGTGAGGTCTCTTGGAATGTTGCCTAATGAAAGGCCATCAGACTTATCATTGGGCAAACCGTGAAAAAGATTACATCCTTGGAGGCATCCCAGAGGAAGATGGATGTTATTTCTATCCTGTCCTCCCTAAGAGGAAGAAGACACCACAAATATCTAAGCAGTACTCTGCCAGGAAGCATTATGAGGAAGGCTGAAGGGACACACTGAGGATGTGCTGAAAGCAAGCATGCCCTAGCAGCATGACTGTGGGTTCCTGTCTGTCACTAATCCACATTCCCTATTTCTGCCATGTTTTTAGGAGACTCCTTGGTGGGGCGAAGGTGATCCTTTCCTTCCTTCATACTAAGCCTCTCACACTGACTTTCTACTGTTCTCTGTACTCCCTAAAGTGTCAATATTACATTTATAACATATGCTGCTGATATGTCAGACTTGGTACATATAACTACAACTACATGAAGGGTTTCATGTTCTCTGAATGCAGGTCCAACCTAGAGCTGCACATTTCAGGTCAGATGCATATTGTGCTAATATTTATCTCTAAAATTAATAGCAAGGAACTGAAGGCTCATTTTTACAGGAAGCAGAAGAGTTTTGTAAAAGGCCTGTGTTTCAGATTTGTTTAGAATTCCAGCTAAAGAGATGCTTCAGCTAGCAGAGTTAACCATCTAAAGACAGCTGAATACACAAGTGCTAAGTAGCTCCAGAAAATAATTCTGGGGCATTTTGTCTGAGATACACAGGAACTCTAAATTGCACCTTCCACATTTTTCCATACCCACTTGAGTTGAGGTGTAAGTGTTGCATTGCTTGTGCAAAGCACAATGTATTTCCATTTAGAAATTTTGTCCCGCACACCTGAAGTATTTGCAATATATTTTAAAATGCTCATCTTAGCAAAATGTTCCTGATTTAAAGAAAGTGTTTCAATCAGAAGAAATAACATTAGCAATTAAACTGAACTATTTTATTTGACCGACTCTGAGACTACAACTCTCTTCAATGGTCAGAATAAATTTGGGTTTGGAGGTGTTTAAACAAATGCACACTTCAGTTGAAAGCAGGCTGCAGTAACGAGATTCAATAAAAAATTCCAATTGTAGGCCTCATGTTAAGTCCTGAAGCACATTTTTGGGTTCCCACGTGCCTTGTTTCCAAGATGGTAGCACCTGGAAAAACATGCAGCTTGATTTTTGTAATAGACACAAGATCAGGTCAGGACTGCAATATACTGCCTGGCTTAGAAGTAGGGCAATGTTGCTGCAGTTTCAATGTGTGACTTTTATGCCACAGAATAAGAACTTACTGGGCTATGATTAGTGGCCACATATAGTTTCCATGCAACAAAGTGAAAAAAAAGATAGAGTGTTTCAATAGCCAAACCAAAACATCCCAAAAACCAGGCCAGAAAAATTCTATTGCCATCCTTAAACCTGTTTTTCCATTAATTGAAATGCACTTGCATTTACTGAGTCCTTCAGGAGAAAATGGGAAAAATGGGACAGTCCTTCTTTGTACCTTCTCAAATTTTCCATCCTCCCTGCAGAATAAATTCAGTCCTTACAGTGAGTTGAAATTTTAATGTGTTTTGACTATTTCCCACATGAAGATTTCCCTTTGCTTCACATCATTTCCTGTGGCGAAAACAATCTCATTGGTCCATGACATCTTCTTCCTCATCATTCCAAGTTTAAAGCAAAATCAGGTGTAAAATGGCAGAAGTTAATCCTCAGAGATGTAATATAGCTTTATTTATTTATTTATTTATTCGTATATTGAGAACTGGTCTCTATTATTCAGTGTGCTGCTTCTGACGGCAGCGATAGTGAGTGGGATGAAATGAGAGAGATGGGCAGCCCCTTTGGGAAGTGCAGGCAAAGGACAATGTCCCTGCTGGGACACAATCATCTGTAGGATGCTCACAAGCCGTTCCTGCAGCCATGTACCTGCAACAAATTAGTGCAATGCTTGTACTCTCATTGTTTTCATATCCCCTCCACAACTAAACCACGCATGGTAATTAAAAGGGATGATTAGTCAATGAGGAGTATTTACATCGTGAGCAGATTTTAGCAATGAAGGAGAAGAAGCACCAAAAGCGCTGAGAAAAGCTCCCAGCAAGCAGCAGAGCACAGGCAGCTTTCCCACACTGCTCTGCCTCCATTCTGATTTACAGCCCTCCTGTGGCTCCCTGCTGTGCCTCTTCTGCTCCAGACACTGCCAGGGGTGTGAAATGGCTTTAGTAGTTTTTGCAGGTGGACTCCTCTCCACCAAGGACTGCTTTGACATGTCTCCAGGCTGTAACATTAAAGGCAGCGCCCGGGAAAGTGTCCTGCAGGGATTGATCCTGCTCTGTGCTTTGCTACAACATCCTGAGCAGGTCTGGATAAGCCTCATCATTTCTCCAAGTCCCTTGTCTGTAAACTGGCGATG